TATCATACTACTATTGTCATCTTTGAAAACAGACATCAGAGAAAACACATACGTAGTGGGAGACTTCAACACACCACTATCAACAATGGATATATCAATGAGACAAAATATAAGTAAAGACACTAAAGCTCTAAACAAGGATCTAGAGAGCTTGGGCTTAACAGACATCTATAGAACACGAAACCCAAAAAAATCTGAGTACACATTTTTCTCAAGCGCACACTGATCATTCTCCAGGATCGATCACATACTGGGACACAAGACAAACATCAACAGATACACCAAGATTGAAATCATACCAACCATCTTTTCTGACCATGAAGGCATCAAAATAGAAATAAACCATAAAAAGAAGGCAAGGTACTCTCCTACCTCATGGAGATTGAAAACCACACTACTGGAAGACCACTGGACTAACGAAGAGATCAAAGAAGAAATTAAAAAATTCTTTGAATTGAATGACAAGGAGGACACCAATTTCTTAAATGTATGGGATGCATCAAAAGCAGTAATAAGAGGAAAATACATAGCAATAGAGGCTCACATCAAGAAACAAGAAAGAACTCAAAGACACAACCTAATCTCGAAGCTCAAAGATCTAGAAAATGAACAACAACAAAAAAAAAACCCAAAACCAATAGAAGAAAAGAAATAATAAAAACCAAAGCAGAAATAATGAAATTGAAACTAAAAAAACAATCCAAGAGATCAATGAAACCAAGAGCTGGTTCTTTGAAAAAATAAATAAAATAGACAAACCCCTCACCAGGCTCACAAAGGGAAAAAGGGAGAAAGCACAAATAAACAGGATGATAAATGAAAAAGGAGAAATCACAACGGACACAGCAGAAATCAAAAGAATAATCAGAAACTACTATGAACAATTATATGGAAACAAGTTCAATTATCTAGAGGAGACGGACAATTTCCTACAACTCTACAATCACCCAAAGCTAGATAAAGAAGAAATAGAACACCTAAACAGACCAATTACAAGCAGCGAAATTGAAATGGTGATCAAAACCCTCCCCAAAAACAAAAGCCCAGGACCTGATGGATTTACAAATGAATTCTACCAAACGTTCAGAAACAAATTAGTGCCTATCCTTCACAAACTCTTCCAAAAAATTGAGAAGGAAGGGATAATACCAAACACATTCCATGAAGCCAACATTACACTAATACCAAAACCAAACAAGGACAACACAAAAAAAGAAAACTACAGGCCAAGCTCTCTAATGAACACTGATGCAAAAATCCTCAATAAAATTTTAGCTATCAGAATCCAACAATGTATACATAAGATAATTCACCACGACCAAGTAGGATTCATTCCAGGAACACAAGGATGGTTCAACATCCGAAAATCAATCAACGTTATCCAACATATCAACAAAAAGAAATACAAAAACCATATGATAATATCAATAGATGCCAAGAAAGCTTTTGACAAAGTGCAACACCCATTCCTGATAAAAGCCCTTGAAATTCTTGGGATACAAGGAACATACCTCAACATCATAAAGGCCATCTATGACAAGCCAACAGCCAGTATCATTCTCAGTGGTGAAAAGATGAAAGCATTTCCATTAAGATCTGGAACAAGACAAGGATGTCCACTCTCACCACTGCTTTTCAATATAATACTGGAAGTCCTAGCCAGAGCAATAAGACAAGAGAAAGACATGCAAGGAAACCAAATAGGAAAAGAAGAAGTCAAACTATCACTATTTGCAGATGATATGATAATATACATAGAGAACCCCAAAAAACTCCACAGAAAAACTAATTCAGCTAATCAATTCAGTAAAGTGGCAGGATAAAAAATTAACACGCAAAAATCATTAGCCTTCCTATACACAAACAATAAATCTGAAGAAGAAGAAATTAAAAAAAAATCCCTTTTATTATCGAAACAAAAAAAATCAAATACTTGGGAATAAATCTAACAAAAGAGGTAAAGAACCTATACAAAGAAAACTATAAAACACTGTTAAAAGAAATAGAAGAAGATACAAAGAAATGGAAAGACATCCCCTGCTCATGGATTGGAAGAATAAACATTATTAAAATGGCCATCCTACCAAAAGCAATTTACAGATTCAATGCTATTCCAATCAAAATTTCAATGTCATTCTTCAAAGAAATAGAACAATTATTGATGAAATTCACATGAACTCACCAAAAACCCTGAATAGCCAAAGCTCTCCTGAAAAAAAAAGAAGGCAATGGAGGCATCACACTCCCAGACTTCAAACTATACTGCAAAGCCATAATCATCAAAACTGCATGGTATTGGAACAAGAACAGACCCACAGACCAATGGAATCAAATAGAAAATCCAGAAATAAACCCACAGATTTATGGTCAACTAATCTTTGACAATGCAGCAAAGAATATGCATTGGAGCAAAAAAAGTTTGTTCAATAAATGATGCTGGGAAAACCGGGTCGCTACCTGCAAAAGAATGAAAGTTGACTACTACCTAACACCATGCACAAAAACCAACTCAAAATGGATTAAAGAACTAGACGTAAGACCTGAAACCATAAAATACATAGAAGGAAATATAGGCGAAACGCTACATGATATGCACATCAAAGACATCTTTACAGACACATCACCCAAAGCAGTGATAGTGAAGGCAAAGATAAACAGCTGGTACTACATCAAATTAAAGAGCTTCTGCACAGCAAAAGAGACAATAACAAAAACTAAGAGAAACCCCACCAACTGGGAGAACATTTTTGTACACAACACTAATGATAAAGGACTGATCACAAAAATCTGCAAAGAGCTGATGAGACTCAACAACAACAAAGAAAATAATCCAGTCAAAAAATGGCAGAAGAGCTAAAAAGAAACTTCTCCAAAGAGGAAATGCAAATGGCCAACAGGCATATGAAAAAATGTTCAGCATCACTTGTAATCAGGGAAATGAAAATCAAAACGACCATGAGATACCATCTTACACCAGTGAGAATGGCACATATTAAAAAAACTAGCAACAACAAATGTTGGTGAGGTTGTGGAGAAAAAGGAACTCTTCTGCACTGTTGGTGGGAGTGCAAACTGGTCCAACCACTGTGGAGAGCTGTGTGGAGATTTCTTGACCTACTAAACATAGAGCTTCCATATGATCCAGCAATTGCACTCCTAGGTATTTACCCAAAGGACACAGAAACATCAACTCCAAAGAGCACCTGCACCCCTATGTTTATAGCAGCACAATTTACAATAGCTAAGCTTTGGAAACAACCCAAATGCCCAAAAATAGATGACTGGATCAAGAAGATGTGGTACATATACACCATGGAGTATTACTCAGCATTCAAAAAAGATAAACACATGCCATTTGCAGCAACATGGATGGTGCTGGAAGGGATCATGCTCAGCGAAATAAGCCAGAAAGAAAAAGAAAAATACCAGATGGTCTCACTCATAGCAGGAATCTAGAAAACTTAAATAAGGGACCAGGAAAAAGAATAACTATAAGAAAGAAAATATCAAAATCAACAAACAACTATGAACCAGAGACGCTCTATGGGGGCTGGGGGGGCGGGGAGGGGAGGGATTGGGGTCAAAATAAGGGCATTGCAATTGTATGGGGAATAAAAAAGTAAAATTTAAATTAAAAAAAGAAAAGACTGTGTAAAGGCCGGACTGGACACAGTGCAGATTTTCCTGATCCCATGCAGACCGGATAAAGGAGGAGTCAGAGTCCTCAGTAGTTTTGCAGGTTTTTTATTTGGGGTTCACCAGGCATATGGCAGGCAGGGATGCTGGCTGGGGGGCTGGGAGGCCTGGCAGGACAAGGATCCATCAGGACAAGGATCCATCATCTATCCTGATGGCGGAAGGGCAGAAAAGCCTGATATTTTCTTTACCCTACAGACTGGAAAGGAGGCTCTTTGCTCCCCCCATCCTAGGAGACCTGTGTCACACATCGGGGGCCAAGGACGTGGAGCAGGGGTCCACAGGTAGTGACCTATAGGACACAGTGCTGTGGTTTCTTGCCTCTTCCCCCTTTGCTTCCCTCCCTTGACATCCTCTTCCTACATGAAACAAAAGTCTTAAAGGCCATGGCTGCTTCCTCCTGCGAAGAGACCAGGAGGATGAAAATAAACATGTAAAGCTGACCCAGAGTCATCAGATATGTGCTCATTAAAAAAATCCAAATGTTTGGGGACCACATCTGGGTATATAAATACGTTGGGTTTGCTAGGTAGCATCTTCCAATTCTTGACCACAAAATCTTGTGATGGAAATCTGAAATGAAACTGTTTTTTTTAAGATTTGTTTCATTTATTCATACAAGAACTGGGGTACAGGCCAGAGGTGTGGGGGATGAGAGGACTCACCAGAGAGAGTGGGGAGCAGAACTGGAGGATCCACTGAAGTACACTGCTGAGGGGAGCAGCAGGCGAGTCAGGAGAGGTCTGCTGCGCCGTGTGGGTTGCTCCCTGGCAGGCTAGGGATCAAACTTGTACTGCAGAGGCTGCCAATTGCTTGACAACGCTGTCTTTAACCCCTGCACCACCAGGAAGGCCCCTGAAATGAAACTTTGCTGATGTGATCTTTCCTGTGAATTCTTGAGCTTTGTAGTTTTGCTGCTGTTTGAACTCAGTGGGGAGGAAGGGATTTTTTTGAGCCCTTTTCCCTCCTCCTCTTCCGCTCCCCATTCCAAACATTGCATTAAGCAGGCTGGGTGTTCTCTAAAACCCGTGTCACTCAAATGCATTTGAAAGTAATCTTTAGCTGCTTTTATTTCAGTCACTGGCCTGATATTGATGTTAACAAATCTAAAATCTAAATCTAAACCTACCTCAAGCTGCTGGAGTTGTCTGAAGCAAAGGGCTATTATCAAAGGATTATAATTTTCATGACTTTACTTGACTTAAAAACTCCTGAAATCCTGGCATCTCTTGAGACATTTCAAAGGGGACCCACATCACAATCTGTAGAACAGTGGGAGATTCTTTTTTAAAGGGGCACCTGGAAGTGCTGCTTCTCAAATCACAGCAGCCTGGACATGTGAAGTACATGGTCGTTAGCGTAACCGCGTCAGCATCTCAGGTGACTGAGATTTACTTTTCCTGCTGCTCACAACCTGGAAGCAGGTACTGTTATTACTCTATTGTGAAGATAGAAAAGTAAGTGGCTCAGAGAAGTATATTACTTTCTCTAATGTGGTGTAGCTGGTTAGTGAATCTTTTTTTATACCAAAGCCTCAGTTTCCTTTTTTGCCTCAACACTAAGTAAGGGTAACTAATAACATTTACTTTGCATGTTGAAAATCTTTTTCTAGTTCCATCTTTCCTTTCTTCTTCCAAATTCATCAAACCATTCCATTACTTCAGGAACATAAGGCCCTGGCTTCAGAGATGATCTGCGCGGTGAGGTACCACTCGCTTTTCATGACTCTCACCCGGGGCTAGCTCTGCAGACGTCTTAGAAAGTTCCTCCAATCCCGCAACGGGCTGGTATTCTTGGTGGAAAATTTTGCCGCAACCTCCTCTGTCTTCTGGGCTGAAAGGAACATGTAAAGCTTTCCTATCATTCCCATGGGCACCAAATTCTGGATCCATCTTCTGGCAGCTGGTGACTATAAAAGGATCTAGGACCTCATTTCCACATGAGTCCGATACTGAAGGTTTTCAGGCTTAGTCTCCCAGCCAGGAACGGACCTCAGGCTGCAGGGGCAGTGCTGAGTCCCAGTCACTAGAGCACCACGTGTCTCAGGGAATATAGACCTTCTGTCCCTGATTATTCTAAAGCTCCACCAGTCTCTCTGATTGGTTAGTTCTCGGTGGTCGCACTCACTGCCTAAATGTCTCTGTGCCCAGAACTAAGTCTCTGTGTCCCAGCCCTTATCTTCTTTTCTCCGTTGTCCTCTATTTGGAATGTCCTGTTGACCTTAGTCCTGGGGTGTTTGATTAGTCCCCTTTGGAACTTGTTGCCCTGATCTCGGGAGCCTTCCTTAACTTCCCTGAAGTCCTGCACTGCCCTGAAGCTGCCTAATTATCCCTAACTTGCTCTAGGACTCAAGCCCACCAGGAGCTGTTCTGGCAGAAGTCAAGGAGATGAGGCTTGGGTGGAAGATGGCAGTGCCCAGAACAGGACAGGGGACAGGGTGTGACCTGAGTGCGTCTGGGCCATGGCTGGGCGCAAGAGGGCCACAGGGAGCTACAGGCTGGAACCAGGGACTGTGGGTGTAGACACAGGACATGCTGGCTCCTGCTGAAGCTGGCATTATTATTTTATCAGTACTTAGTTGTACAAGCTGCTGCGCAAAGGATGTGCTTCCACGGAGAGATGCAGATCTTGGAGTACAGCAAAGGTAAGAATGGGGGTCCCTGTGTCTTCCTCACTGGGTTCCGGAATTTTCCTACCACTTCATGCGGAGCAGACACACGGCCTCATGGTGCCCTCCTGTGGTCATGTGTTTAGTTGCAAGATGGTGATGGGTTGTTCTTCAAAAATAAAGAGAAGGCAAAAGGGTCCCGCATATGCTTTTAGTCAGCAACAAGTTCTGAGATGTGACAGTCCTGTCAAAACAGAACAATTCAACAAACTTCAAAGTAACCACAACATAAGATATGTAGACACATTTTGGAGACTTGTCGACAGATCCTTGCAGTGAAATATGCCAAAAACATTTTGAAGGACAAACAATATGATCTGAAATGGAAGTGGGGTAAGTCACACTCAGGTGTGTGAGGACTACGCCGGGGACCCAATAGGAAACCAGCTGAGCAACAGTCATAGAATCCACAAAAAGGCAGGAGAGAACTTCAGGGCTCAATTTCCTGGTGCTGGACGTTTCATTTCTGCCATTTTAAAGAAAGAATGTTTTCACGTCATTTATTCCACTGTCCAGACACAGACAAGACAGCAGCCCTGTCTCCCTGGAAGTCGCATTTCAGAAGGGGGAGAGGGAGAAAATAAACACAAGGGAAAAAATAAACAAGATAATTCCAGAAAATGGAAAGCATTATGGAGAAAACAAAATGCACAATGAGATGGAGAGGGAAAAATTGAGAACAATGAAATGAGAGGAGAGAGAAGGTCTCCAAGAAAGAAGTGGTGAAATTGTGGGTGCATTTTTCAGGGGGACCTGATGTGTTGACAGATTAGATATGGAGTGTGAGGGAAATCAGCTGGGACGGTGCCAAGATTTCTGGTCTCGGTACTTGCCATGTACCAAGATGAGGCGACTCCAAACAGGGCCACGGCGGGGGGGCAAGTCTTGCAGTTGTTTGCAGAGCTTGCTGGATAACTGAGCACGTCGTGGGGAGCCCTGGGGCAAGCTGCACGCTGGCTCACCTTCCTGCCACTGGCTCACCTGTTGACTCGCTCCAAGTGTGCAGACCTTATTGGGGGTCCCGTGAAGAAGCAGACCAAGGATATTCCAAAGCTGTGAGCACAAGACAGGCCAGGGTTTCAGGAGAGCAGATTGAAAGTAGCAGAGTAGATATTGGGCTCTAGGGCCACAGCCTCAGATGGAGAAATTCGGGTGCTGGCTGACAAGGCTGGGGGCGTCTCGAAGTGCAGGGAGAGGAAGGGAGCCCCAAGTGACATCCCACCCACTGATGCCTCAAGGCAGCCCCACAGCTGTGCTGGGGCTTCCTTCTTCATAGAAGTTTATGTCAATCCCAGGCAACTCCAGTCTTGTCTATGTCCCCTTTGGGTGAAACCCCTCATCTCCCTCCCGTAAATTGTCACTCTCTGCTGGGGACCTGGACCCTCTCCTACAGCCCACCACATATTGGGTGGCAGCATTCAACCCCACCCCACCCCAAGTTTTCTTTATTCAGGGTCAACTGCCCCAGTTTCTTCAATGCTCTTTGGTCCCAGCACTCACTCGTTAGCTGGTTAATATTCCTCTCAAAGGGCTGTGCCCAGAGGCACACAACCCCCAGGTGGAGTGGAGTCACCAGGACAGGTGTCGAGGATCCTGAAGTTGTGTCCTGGTGCCACAGAAGGGGGTAGTGGCTGACAGCGGCCTCTGCTGTTGCTGACACAGGACGCGCCAGATTCACTCTGGTCTGATCCTCATTTCCCCTTTGACTTTTGCTTTCTGATCCCGGAAGTCTATCCTTTCTTTCAACTAGATGGGTATCAATGAACAAATACATCAACTGTTTTACTCCTTGCTGGCACATAGTAGGCCTTTACTAAATGATTCGAGTGAGTGAGAAAGTGCCCACCTCTATAGTACCAATGAAACCAGCAAGACCTGCTAAAACCAAGTCTGCACATGTCCCTTTGGGTCTACGCTGTCCTGGCATCAACCACAACCCAGGGATGGTGGTGAAAACTGCCATTTACTGTGGCCTTGCGATGCCCCGCCTGTGCACAGTGTCGATACTAGGTGGCCAGAACTGCTGCCATCTTCATTTCACTGTGGGAACCAAGGTCTGAAGAGGGGAGGACTAGCTGAAGCTCCTGTGAGTCCCCATGGCGGGGGCAGAGACCCGACCCTGCACCTGTGAATTCCTGCATCCATGTGCAGGAGCTGCACCAGACACCAGACTCCTTGTGACTTTACAGTAGGTTCCCTGCATGGCAAGATGGGACATTTGCAGAGGCAAAGGCTTCCTGTCAAAGGTGTGACTTGGGAAGACCCAGATCCCCATGGGAGGTGGTAGCAATAAACAATAGCCTATTAAAGACCTGAATGGGAAAACCCAGAAAGCTTATATTCTTAAGATGGGGAACATAAGAGTGTAAGTTGCAGCGCCCTTTAGTAGCTGCTGTGAAGCCTTGAGAAAGCAGCTAGCATTTCTAGCCTCTGATCTCAAAATGGGTAGGAAACAGTTGAGCAGAGTGATAACACCTGGCTTTGTATTAGGCCCCCATGTCATGCCAATGTCGGTGGATCATCAGATAAATAGAAATAATAGCAATTCCTACTTTATGCGGTTGATCTGATGTTTAAATGCATCATTCTCTATAGGGCTAAAACCAGCTGACAGGTGGGCTTGGCTGCTGGGAACCCAAAGCAGCAGTGATGTGGGGCCTTCGTTCTGAGTTTGGTCTGAACCCAACCAAATTAGGTGTCTTCTTAAGGTGTGTGTTTTCTAACCTGAGAAGTAGGCACAATCATAATGTTGCCTCTTGGCCTCATTGTGAGGATTAAAGAGATTTATTAGAACAGGTTGGCCTGCCCCAAGGTCTGGTAGTTTTTATGATTGCAGCCTGGCAATTTGTTATTGCTGTTCATTTCTTTCAAAGACTAAGTCTGAAAAACTGACACTCTCAAAGGACATGATGTGAAAGCAGAGAAAAAGTGCTTTAAGGAAATCCTAGTGAGGCTGATGGATCAGGGCTCCCACCCTTGTATCTCAGCTCTAACCCTGCCTCTAATCTGCTGGGTCACTGTGTATGGGTTCCTTGTGCTCCCCTAGATCTTGGTTTCTCAGCTGTGTGAGTGGAGTAAGGGGGGATCCCAAGCAAGGTTTTATCCAGGGGTGCCATCTGACACACTTGGAGAGTTGGGTTTTTTGGGCAAGATTTTATTTATTTATGCATACAAGAACTGGGGTACAGGCCAGAGGTGTGGGAGGTGAGAGAATTCACCAGAGACGGAGTGGGGAACAGAACAGGCAGATCAACTGAAATGCACTGCTGAGGGGAGCAGCGGGCAAGACGGGAGAGCTCTGCTGCGCCATATGGGTAACTCCCTGGCCAGGGATTGAACTCCCTGGCTGCAGCCGCAGTGGCTGTGGATAGCTTCATAGGTTGCATCTTTTTTTTATTATTATTATTATGAATTTTATTTTTATATTCCCCATACAATTGCGACCCCCTTATTTTGACCCCATTCCCTCCCCTCCCCGCCCCCCATAGAGTGTCTCTGATTCATAGTTATTTGTTGATTTTGATATTTTCTCTCTTAGAGTTATTCTTTTTCCTGGTCCCTTATTTAAGTTTTCTAGATTCCTGCTATGAGTGAGACCATCCGGTATTGTTCTTTTTCTTTCTGGCTTATTTCGCTGAGCATGATCCCTTCCAGTGCCATCCATGTTGCTGCAAACTGCATTTATTTATCTTTTTTGATTGCTGAGTAATATTCCATGGTATATATGTACCACATCTTCTTGATCCAGTCATCTATTTTTGGGCATTTGGGCTGTTTCCAAAGCTTAGCTATTGTAAATAGTGCTGCTATAAACATAGGGGTGCAGGTGCTCTTTGGAATTGATGTTTCTGTGTCCTTTGGGTAAATACCTAGGAGTGGAATTGCTGGATCATATGGAAGCTCTTCATAGGTTGCATCTTAACCCCTTGAGCCACCAGGGAGGCCCTTGGAGAGTTTTGAATATACCTGCCTAGGCCCTAGTATTGTTACAGGGCAACCCCAATATAAAATGGGTTGCCAGACTGTGGGTCCTCACCCATGTGCTTAAAGGGGACTTAAACTGCAGGCACACACAACAGATTAATCAAAGGTTTATTTACAAGGAAAGGGGAAATGAGGGGGGTGCGGGGAGGGAGAGAGAGGAGAAAGAAAAGAGAGAAGAGAAGAGAGAGAGAGAGAGAGAGAGAGAGAGAGAGAGAGAGAGAGAGAGAGAGAAACCCACTCATATGGCTGGTTATATTCTCAAACAGAAAACATGGCTGCTTAACTCCACCCTCAGGTCCTCTCAACTCTCCCTTTGGGGATCATGGGATTTGTAGTTCCCAGTGTCTTGATGGAGTGGGTGTGGAGTCCACAAAGCCTGTATGGCGTTTGTGCAGGACATCCTTTCCCCCAACAGTATGAGGATCTGTTGGTGGATCCTACAAATCGTGGTTTTAAATGGGGAGTGGGAGAGGGTCAGGGGTTCTAAAGCCCATACTGAAGCAGGGCTATAGGGATACTGCCCTCCAAGGACAGTGCCAATAGAGGACATCTCACTGTCTGTGAGTTCTTCACCTATGCACAGTTGCAAGACCACTCACATTCAGGGAACAACAATAACGGGGTTTATTTAACAAACAGGGAAAGCAAAGAGTTGCTAAGGCCACAGGTAGTCAGCTACCTCACCCTAGATAGTGTCCACAGTGTTCCGGAGTCCTGAACAAAATGTCACTCATCCAAAATGGTGCCATCCTGCCCGTGAGGGCCTGGAGCGCGTGGCCACTGGAGTGCTCACAGGCTGGCACTGAGGGATGCCATGGCACCCGCAGCAGCAGTCTGAAGGCCAAGATGGATGGCACCGGACCCCAGACCAGACAGTAGCAGCAGCACCAAGGCAGTGCCAGATGAGCCGGTAAATAGCTCCCGTGAGCCCTCAGCCCACAACAATCAGCTTGGTGGACACCAGGCCCCAGCCCTCGGTGCTCTCTCCAGGC